GTCGATGTTTGAAAATAAGGAATCCAGCCTTTTTACCTGAAGAAGGACACGGAAGGTGTTCGGAAAACATTTGTTTTTACAAAATTATTTATTTTTGTATTTCTACACACTGGTTAGAGGAACGAGTAAGTACATTTTTGTTTATTATAGAATGTTATTGCCAATGACTTGGGATGGGCCCTAATGTTGTTTTGAAGATTGTCATTAGTCTCAAACCACTGCCCTGCTAGCCATGTTTTCAGTTCAGAAAGAGGTGGAAATCTTCACCATCTTTACACACCCAACATATAGTCCTGATGTAGCACCAAGTGACTTCCACTTCTTTTCTGAACAGAAAAAGTGGCTGGGAGGGCAGCGGTTTGAGACTAATGACGATCTTCAAAACAACATTAGGGCCCATCCCAAGTCATTGGCAACAACATTCTATGAAGAGGGGATGGAAAAGCTGATCCACAGATGTGACAAATGCCCAATCTTCACGGTGATTATGTCAAAAAGTAACCAGATTTGTACCTAACTTTTGGTAATAAATTCATTTTGTTATTTACACTTGTCTTTGTTTTATGGGCCATCAGAGCTTAAAAGAAAAGGCCTACATATATTTTTAAAACTAACTTATCATTTTTTCATTTTGAGTGAAAAACTCTAGGGTTATTTTTTTTATTTGAAGCATTCAATTCGAGCTATAAGTGATTTAAAAAAATATGATGTCACTTCCTGTTTAGTGAAATGCCAACTGATGTATGAAAATATTTGTTGATAATTATACATTAGTTTATTTGTTACTTATTATCTGCAATTTTAAACATTTAAACTGTTATATGTTTAAAACATTTCATATTTGCAACATTCTAAGAATATTTTCAAGTATGCAAATTTTGTGGAACTTATCACCAGCCTGAAGCATACATATAAAGTTAAGCCATGTATTGTTACAAAAAACACTCAAAATTAAAGTAACAAATTAATAAAATTGCAGATAAAAAGTAATGAATATTAAACTAATGTGAAATTATCAAGAAATATTTTCATACATCAATTGGAGTTTTGTAAACAAGAAGTGATGTCACATTTGTGAAATTGCTAACAACTCATTGAACACTTTTTAAATCAAAAAATGGTCCTAGAGTTTTTGACTCAAAATTAAAGGTTTCAAAGAAAAACTTTACTTTCAGATGCTCTGTACTAGTTAGTTATTAACTACTTTGTACAAGGCAAATTTCACACCATGTTTTATCTAATTTTCATTGTTTGGTCTCAAACTCACATCTTGGAAAACTCATTCAATTCACCCTCTCTATTTAATTCCAACAAAATTTGTGTCTGTTCCTTGTCATATGATCTTTGTTTCTCTGGTGAGGTTCAAAATCCTTCTTGGAATATTACTTGTCATTCTCTGTGATGATTATTATATCCGAGGGCACTACTTGTCTACAAGTGATATCTTAATTTTTTGTTTTATTCAAGTTAAGTTACATTCTTTGTGCCCAAAAATCTCTTCACATTTCCACATCAAACAAATTTCTGGTTTATAGTAAAATTTAACATAGAAAATTGCTCTATTCTAAAGAATTTTTTCATTTAGGTAGGTTTCCATTTTATTCAAATTCCATTTTAAACGGGTTTACTGTGTATGGGAAAAATCTTTCAATGAGCATAAGGAAAAAATATAGTTTTTTGTCAATATTTCCTAAACAATTACTGTAATATGTAACTTAATTCAAAAACAGCATTTTATATAATTATGATTTAAGACAAAACTGTTCAACCAGATATTTTCTCTCCTGTGGGCACTAAGAAGACTTTTTACTTCATGTCCAAAATAGGATCAGTTGGATAGTTAAGGATGGGATCATACATATCCAGGACAGATTGCTTACAAAAAATTTCTAGGGTTCTTCACATATTTAGATTTGATCCCAGGTTCTCCAGAACAGCAGGCTGACATCTTTACTACCTTGGCCATCCAACCAGAATTGTGTTTGTTGCTTAAGTTAGTGTCCTTTATTGCTGGTTGCATTCATTATACATTAATATAAATCTACAAAAAAAATAATAAATAAAATACTATTATAATTAAGACTGGTAGTGTTTCTACCAGTCTTAATTATAAATAAAATAATGGTGTCAAGTCTGTGTGTGATAACCCCTAAAATAACTGGAATACAGTAATTGAGGACTAACTTCATATTTTTCATTTATATTTTTTTAAATAAATTTTTTTTAAAACTTTTAATTTTTATAAAGAAAAGAAAAAAAAAGCTTGACTTATTTTCAGGTAAAAACATTTGCTGGTTATTATTTTAATTTTATCAGTTGCAGTTATAGAACATTTTTATTTAATGAAAAGATGAAACTTACTGTAGAGAAACGCCTTTCACATTTCTTTTAGCACTAAATTTTATAAAAACAAGCATTTTCAGCCAATTCCAAAATCAAATAAACATGTGATTTTGGAATTGTCATTTTAAATCTGAAAATGTGAGACCTTTACAATTTTGGAATTCTCAGTTAAAAACATTTGATTGCATTAGTTAAAAAACCTGAAGCAGGCCCCTAGAAGTGACTAAAAACATTTAAAATAAAATTTGATGCTGGAAGAAGTGTGAAAGATGCCATTTTTCTCTAAACTGGTTCCAGTTTTCTAAGATATGTTTTATGTAACTTACTCCATTATGAAAAAATGAATTTTTTCTGAATATAGTTATCATGCTATGATATGTTAATCAGTTAATTGCAGTCAGTTATTTTAAACACTGTAAGCATTATACATTTGTCACAAATTTTGCAAATTTTTGTTAGGATGATTTTGAATAAAAATAAGTTAAAAATTTATTCTAGGACTATACCTAATATGCTAGTTTTAAACAAATTGAGTTATTAAGAAAAAAGTACAAATACCCACCAACGCTCAATGCACAACAGTGTGCAAAGTTAAAACTCAATGTAAAAATCTTTAATTGAAGTTAAATGATCTGTTATATTACTGAAATATAATTTTAATGCTTAGGTTAAATAATTACTAAACTAAACTAAAAATTGCATCCTTATTTAGATAATTATGAAAAAAAATCACTCGCTTCATTTTTGTATAGAAAGAATGTAACTAAGAATAATACTACCAAAGGCAGAAAAGTACCAACAATTTCAACTTCAATTATCTGTATTACATGAAAAACCCTATAGGCTGTGCTTGTACAGCTTGGTACACTGGTACCTGGGACTTGTCGACAGCTTAGAGTAACACAGTTCAACTTAGCAACGTTTCACTGTATTATAAGATGTTTTGGCGTCAAGAAAATTTAATATATTGTAGAATGTTTTTCAAATATTTGATAGTTAAAAATTTAGTTTTATGGAAAAAAATAGCTAGTATATATGTATTTCTGATTTCAACAATAGGAAAACATTCTCAAAACATAACTTAATATTCCATTATTAGGTTTATTTACATATTTAATTTGTGAATTTTTTGTCTCTTTAATCCTTTTGGTAGACTATCTCACAGCAAAGGTTAATAAATTCTTTTATTATTTTTCACATATGCATTTCGAACCGGTATAACATTTCCGGTTCCTCTTCAGTGTTCTCTAAGGGTTTTACACATTTCCTTTTTCATACAGTTGGATCGTTACTTACTAAAACAACAGTACAAGGAGTAAAAAGTAATATGATGAAATTATCGCTTTTTTTGGTTTAATATGCTTTGAAAAACACTCAATATTTTTAGATTTGGGTTCGCAATAATTAAACATTTAGGTTTCTTTCTTTCTAATATTGTAAATGCACAAATGTCAACTTACACTAGGTAACTTACACAAAGTAACCTTTACAATCATTCTTTTAGTGTTAAGTATNGCTTGGTACACTGGTACCTGGGACTTGTCGACAGCTTAGAGTAACACAGTTCAACTTAGCAACGTTTCACTGTATTATAAGATGTTTTGGCGTCAAGAAAATTTAATATATTGTAGAATGTTTTTCAAATATTTGATAGTTAAAAATTTAGTTTTATGGAAAAAAATAGCTAGTATATATGTATTTCTGATTTCAACAATAGGAAAACATTCTCAAAAGCATAACTTAATTTCCATTATTAGGTTTATTTACATATTTAATTTATTTTTATATGTTAATTATTTTACTTTGAATTTTTTTTTATTATAGTAGTCAAATCTTAGATTTGTCATCAACAAGGATGATGATATATTCTTTCAGTATATGTTTAGAGTAGATTACAGGAAACAGAAGAATGTGTTAGGAAACAATCAATACATTTTCTAATCTTCTCTCAGTAACTGTGGTTTAAATATTTTTATGATTTTAATTAAATCAATTTTTAAAAATTGTTTGTTTTACACAGTTTCACTAATGACTCCAAATGATTAACAGATCTGAATATTGAAAACAGTACTCTTAAGTAATTTAAGTTACCAGACATTAAAAATTAAATTGTAAATTTTATTTTCAAAAGATTTGTTTTCAGTAATAATGAGAAGTTATTTATTGTGGCATTGTCACAATGCCAGGCTGCAATTTTTAATCATATTTTTAATTTATTTAATTTAAAATATATGCTTTCCATCTCAAATTAGTAGTGACTTGCCCCTGTGCATTGTACATTTTCTTTAACAATGGTATCATGTCGGTCATCTACCTAACACCTTTCAGGAAAATTTTTGAATTGAAATAACATGACTTTGTTTTTATCAGAAGTTCTTATATAGTTAATCAGGGCCTCCTGTCCCTAAGTTTCCGTATATAGTTTCATCTTTCATCTATGTAACTCCATTCTTGAGATTAAACTATATTTTCTATTCAGCAATTTTTTGTGGAATATATACCACAGTGGATAATAAGAAAGTAGTTATGGTACTTAGCAATTTATATCAAAATTTCAGTGTTTTGTTTTTAGTTATATTTGAACTTTAATTGCATTCATTTATCATACAGTTTTAGATTATTTTTAAAAAAATATTCTAATTTAACTTAACTTTCAGGTTTGCATATGTTGAATTTGCGGACAAAGATTCTATTCAGACTGCTATGGCGTTAGATGAATCACTTTTTAGAGGAAGACAAATTAAGGTTTGTAAAAATTTTCTATTGGCATGAATTTAAACAATACAGTAAAGTATATATGTATATTTTTATCATCATAATTCCTTTCTCTGTTCTTTGGATATTGAACGATATAAAAAATGATTTATATTAAGTTGTTGCAAATGAAATAGCCAATTTTTACTTCTGACTTTGAATGTTTATTAATTTAACTTAAAAAACTTACATATTCAATCAATCAATTTATATTTAAGATTTTTCTTTGTAATATTCAAGAAGCTTATCAGTTTTCCTCTGTAGTTAAGTCTTCATCTTTGAAAACAAAACTGTCATCCACATAAATCAAAAAAGAGAAATTAATTGTTTATCTATTGGTAATTTTATCTTCCAGAGTATAAAAATATTTGTGAAAAATCAAACAGATACAAATTGAATAAATGTGGACTTTTGAGGATCCTGAGGTAAATCCCTGCAATTTGAAAAATGTTAGAATGTTAAATTTGTTGATGGATTAATGTATCAAATTTAGCAAATGTGTGCTTTGTAAGTCTATTTTAACTGGCATACATCAACAGAAATATTAATTTATTTACTGAATTAAATGCTTTGGATAGGTCAACAAAAATTTGTTACAAATAGAGTATGTTGAATTAAGCTTAAGAGAACAAATATAGCATTTAAAGTTCTCTTATTCTTTGATAAAGCAGATTGGTACAGACCAGAGAGATTGTTTTAACATTCCAAACTATTAACCAATTCTTTAATAGATAACAAAAAATTTTCCTCTAAATTGATAAGGTCTATTTGTCTATAGTTATGAGGATCTGACTGATTGCCTCTCATATATATCATCAAGTAAAGTACAGAATTTTAATATTTAGGAATTAATTCTGGAAAAAGTTTAAATTCTAAAAGTTTTATCAAAATGTTAAACATCCAATCTTAATCTAAGGTCACCAAATGATGAATCATGGTCTGCAAACACATTTTCTCTAGACCTTGAAGTATCAAAGGACAATCAGCAGTGATGATAGTGAAGTTTTGGCTTACCAATTCTGTGATGAAACTTAAATCTGAATTTAAAGCAAAATTCACTGATTTAAAAAAATAGTTGAGAACTTTTTGCAGATTTTGATGAACAGTTTTTTCCTCTTTAACCTAACTGTGTACAGAGTAGTATCAAAGTGGCAGATGTTTTCAAATGTAATAAAGCTACCCTGAAGATGAAATGATTGAGTTTTAGGAAGACTTTATTTTAAAGGACAAATGTACTGAAATTTTAAATAATCTTTGATATGAACAATTCTGGATTAAATGTGTTTGAGAGATAGTAAATATTAGGTATTTATATAGAATTTAAAACATTAACCATAAACTATTACAATTTTGAGCTTAATATATTTATATGAAATGGCATTCTCAAAGATGAACTTCATAAAGAATAAATTTAGATCTCAATTCATAGATATCTGCTGTCTCAGCTTACTGAGAATCAGTTGCATCAACTACACTCCAAATTTTAGCCAGGTGCTCCAAAGTAAAAAATGTCATTACTCACACCAGACATGAACTTTCATAAAATTGTATTATGCTTTGTTTTGTATTATTTTAAAAAAATTTAAAAAAACAAATTAGATTTAAAAGGTTTGGTTAAAAAATTTGATGTTTTATTTATTGCGAAATCACTTTTACTTTGTAGTATTTTTTTGTCAGTACCTTTCTGAAAAACTGCTAGTTTTTATTGTAAACATTCCGTTTCAGCCTAAACATTCTTTGGTAATTTGCAATCTGCAAATCATCTTGCTCTAAACAAACTGTAAGTTTTTATTTTATTTCACAAATAAAATAAAAACTTATAGTTTTCCAAAATGGAGGCCTCCTCTGGGCATATTCAGTATTCTTGATAGCATTGTTCCTGTTAATATTAAATTTAATTTGTACAGGAGAACAATCTGCAAAAAGTCATCAGTTATTTTAAAACTTATACAATAATCCACATGAGATATTATTTATTTCACATAGAAAAGGAAATGTCACAAGGCAGTTGATATCTTCCCTGAAAATAACCTCCATAATAAAGGATTAAAATATAAACAACAAAAAAATCAACAGAGATGATAAAAATATAATTAACAAACATAAGAAAAATTTATAAATTATAAAGTAACTATTTACAAATGTGTTTTAAAATGTAAAAAATCTTTATGTAAAGGTTGTTCCACAAAGCCCATATTCTGAATAAAATGATAGAAAAAGGAATTGAAAGAAATGGCAAGCCTAAAAGATGGGGTTTAAAAAAAACATTTGGTTAGAAGTAACACACAGAACTTTTTTAACTTATTTTAATCCTTGACATATTTATGTATTGTAGAAATATAAGTAGTTTGTAGGGGTGAAAAGCTCCATTTAAAGCAAAATGCCAATTTGTTTCCAGAAAAGCTTTCCAAAAATTATTCTTTGAGAATTAATCTGCTTAACATTAGATACAGTGTATGCTGATGTCTGATTGGCAAATAATTTTCATAATAGTTACAATTCTGAAAATATTCAATCCTCTCATTTTAAGACACCTATTTATTAACTTTTCATAATTCTCTGACAAATAAACAACATGATTTTTAAATTTATTAACAGAAGTAATATACAGAAATTAAAACACCTTAATTTGTTGCTGAGAAATATATTTGAAAAACTTAGAATAGTTTTTCAAATATATTTCTCAGCAACAAATTAAGGTGTTTTAATTTCTGTGTTTACTTGCTGAGCACTTTTAATGTTAGAAGTAATATAGTTTATACAGGGATGAGAGTAAGATATTAATATCAAATGATCAACAATCATGTTCAATAAGAACTTACTAACACAACTGTTATTTGTTTGTCAATAAGTTTTATGATGAAAGTACCAAAATACTTTAAACCAGCAATTATCAACTATTTAAAGCACACAAAGAATGTTTGGCTCATAATTTTACAACGAATGTTAAGATTCTGCATTCAAAATTGTTGTCAATATTATCAGTTGTAATTCGTGTTCTATAAATGGAACAACTTGATGAAGTCTATTAAAAGTAACTGAAAATGTTAGTTGTGCATTAAATGTTTGATAATTGCTGACTTAAAGTTGTATGATGCTTTATATTATTTGAATTGTTGAACAATAAAATAGTCTTGTTATTTATTCATAAGTCTTGGGGCAATCATCTCATTTGAATGAAGGTGGTGGTGAAATTGACATAAATTTCTAGAATGTTTCTCACGAGGTAAAGGTGAAACTTTGTTAAGATGAACAAATAGTAGATTGTACTGCATCTATCAAAATATAATTATAGAAGTTACAAGAGGCAATAGAATAAAATTGTTAATCACTTTGCTGATTTTCTACACACGTAGAAAACCAGCAGAGTGTTTTCAATAAATAACAGTTTTAATGTGATAACAACTCAAGGTATGCATGGAAGTGCTATGACAGTAGTCAGAGTTCATATGCCTGATCATCAAGCTTTACTTTGTAAAATAAGATTATAATGGTAAAATAATAATTAAAACATTTAGAATTAATTGTTTATTGATTTAATTAAAACACATGTATATTTTATATTTTAGTGTTATAAGTTTTAATTAATATAAAAGCCTGTAAAGTTGTTCTTGTATTAATTAATCAAGTTATAGATTTGTTCACAATGTCAGGAATCTAAATATTTATGAAGATAATTTTAACATTTTTACTTGCACTACAGTGTCATGCAGTGACATTTGATATGGAAGCTGTGCCAGCCCTGGATAGAATCATTGAAAGTGTTTATACGATATTTTGGTGTGTAGCATCCATGAGCTAAACCACGTGAGATTGATGCTCTGTAAAGTGCATGCACAAATGCCTGTAATCTGGCTGCTTTACACGATTCAGATATTTTTGCCATGGAAGCTGTCCTGTATTCGACAATACAGCGCTTCCATCGTAAATATGCATATATGAATTTATATTCGAATATACAATAGCAATCTTATTATTGTTCTTCGCATATATAGAAATTTGTAATATAAGATACATAATGTGGTTATAATAAAATATTAATTTTAATTAATTAAAGTATGTTAAAATATGAAAATAACTGCACAATATGTATTTATATTTTAGAAAATACAAGGGAAGTGGTTCTTCCACAGTTTCCATGGACTGCATGTCATTGTTGTACTAGTATATTCATTTTTTATTTAGTTCAAGGAATAGACATTTAAGCTTAGGAAGAAATACTTGCAAACTTCTAATATTTTAGTTCATGTGTAATTCATATAGAAAAATAATTTACTCCTAAGAATAGGACACCATACCCTATTCTTATTTATAGTATTTAAGAAATTTAAAAAAACTGCATAATTAAGAGCTTTAAAAAAAGCTGGGTCACTGTTGCATTTGTTTCCCTACTAAATTCATTTGATAGTTATAAATTGGATTTGCCATTTTTATTGTAATTTAATTTTTGCCAGTTGTCAGTTCTTCACAATTTTGACTGATTTGTGAACCAAACAAACTTTTCAGAATGCTTTGTCTTAATTTCTTTCAGTATATAAAACTTATGAATATTTATACAAGTTTCTAAATCTTGCATGCTCAGAGAATATTTTAACATTGTTACTAGGTAATGCCAAAAAGAACGAATCGACCGGGAATTAGTACCACAAATAGACCACCAAGAGGACGTTATCGAGGAGGTGGGAGACCATATACTCGAGGGGCTTATTTTGGATATCGTCCAACCAGAAGGCCATACAGGTAATTATCATTTCTGCTCATTAAAACTTTTAAATCCTTAAGTTTATTCTTTCAATCTCCTCTTAAATTTGAGTGTAAAACTAAACAACTGGGTATGTACATATTAAAAAAGAGTTGCACTTTGTTGCTATAAACTTATATCTATTTGCTACATGTACCCAAGAAGGAGCACTTCTGGACAAGCATTCTTTAAAGTTTAATCCCTTTAATCTGGTATGTAATTAAAATTACTACCAATAATTCTTTCTCTAGCTTAGCTTTATATAAATGTGCATAATTTATTTTCAATCAAAGGCAACCAGATGTATTTTTCTCTTTGCAGAAGTCGGAGAGCATGGTATCATCCTTATTGAGAATGGGTTAAATATAAATTCAGGAACTTCGACAACTCAAACTTCTCCATTGTGAGTTTGTAGACCTGGAATCCTTCTGACATGTAAAAACTTTTTGATCTTATTGGCAATGTATATCATGCCATAGAATTACACTCGTTTTAGTAGTAGTATGAAATATGATCAGCATGTTATGGGTCAGTTTCCCAGGTTGTGTGCATGTTATTGCAAAATTGGGAAAATGATTTTTTTTATAAGTTTGAGTGCGTGGTATCATGTTGCAATAACTTGCAACAATTTAATAAGATCTTTTTCATTCTTAAATTCGTACTCGTTTAATTTTTACTTAATTTAATATTATCAAACACTGGTAATATTGAATAGGGAATTGATCGATAGCACGTCAATATGCTGTAATGCTTGGATATATATTAGTGTAGTCAGTTTAGTAATAATTGCTCAATTTCGAGATGATTTTTAAAAAAAAAATGTAAGAATTTGTCCAGAAGTTGGTTAGACAAGAAAATATTTGCATTTTTTTTTTTGTTTTGTTTTTTTTTTTTTTATGTTTTAAAATGTTTAATTTTAAAAATGTATATCTAATTAGCATATAATTTTTGTTTTGTCTGCAGAGTGTAAAGTAGCCCATCTTTCATTACATCAATAATTTCATTGTATAGTCTACACTTAATATACATCTGGGCAAATTTTTCGTTTCGTGATAACTGCTTTCCACTCTGCAGTCGTGTTTACTCATGGTTTTCAGAATCTTCTTTTCCAGGCCTCCACGCTGCAGAACTTAACTCTCCAGCAGCTTTTCCATCTTCCTTACTTTTTCATAAATGTAAAAAATGAAAATAAAAAAAGATGTAAAAAATTGTCGAATAAAAATATGAAATATGTGGAAATGTTTTTGTCTATTTTTAATTTAAAATTATAAAATTTGGGTTTTATTTTTCTTTAAAATATTTCCTTCGAAATGCTTTGAATCAAAGCATGAGATTAAGTCAAATTATTTTATTTAAAAATTAATATTGTACGAAGGCAGCTCTTACAAGTTAGTGTGTTTTTTTTTCGGCTTTTATAGAATATAATGTACGGAAAGTAATGTGATCGTCAAATTTTGACATTCCCCGATTATTTGCATTTCTCGACGTTTTGACACTACAAGAGCCCAAAACTGTGAAAAATGAATTAAAAATTGACCTTTAACCGCTAAATTTTAACAGCCCCAATGCCTAAATAATAACCCTGCCAAGCTTAAAAATTTTTGGTTTATCCAGAACATCTCGGGAATGGATAAATTCCGGAGATGTAATGCAAAATAGACATCTATAACCTTTTAATATGTATGGTATAGAAGTGTATTTTGCATTACATCTCAGGAATGGATAAACCAAAAAATTTTAAGCTTGTCAGGGTTATTCAGGGAATTGGGGGCTGTTAAAAGTCAATTGAGTCGTGCCACATCTCCAATGGGATCAGGCTTAATGTAAATTTTACTCGCTAGTGGTGTTAACAATTATAATTAAAATTAATCATAAAATTACTCCTCGATATTTTGTAAATTTTATATCCCCTTAATCCTCTTCGAGTATCGGGAAAGTCGAGCAAGAGCATTGCCAGCTTTGTAATACTAAGATCGCTGTTGACGCTATTGAATAATCTATGATTGCACAAATTCGGAAAGTCGTAAATCGGATATATCATTGGTCTAATAATAATGGCTTTCGTTGTAACGCTGACAAGATCTCGTGTATCCCCTTTCGCCGAAGTCATGATTTGCATGCCTATCCGGAAAAATCGGTTGGGGTGATGTCGGAGGATCTTGGACACCACGGGAGCGGAGCGATTTTATTAATGTAAGTAATATAACAAAACTACATTGATTATTTATTTGATACTGCATTTATATACGTTGTTTAGTATTTTTGTACATTTATATAGTCTATTCAGGTACACTAGCGATTCCCAACCGGGGTTACGCGTACCCCCAGAGGTATGCTCTTAGTGGTTTAGGAGTATGTATGGCGAATATACTATAAGAATATTCGAATTCTGCGTTGAGGCCTTGATGCTTAGTTTTAAATTTAAAAAAAATGAGTGTCCGTCCTCCAACGCTTTTCGATTTAAAATGTGTTTTAATACTCACTTAAAATAAATTACGTCCATACGCGAAGTTGCCGAACTAATTTTAATTCACACTGCAGCCTCAAGTAGCTTCTCCGACATTATTGTAGCATGCCTCATTTTTTAAACTTTACCGGTGACAACAGAACGAAATTTTTCAAAACTGAAATTAATCAAAACGTATTTAAGAAGCAGCATGCCACAACAATGTCTTATCAATTGAAAAACAATAGCTTGTCAACTTGATTTAGAGAAAGTGATTGAACCGATTTGCAAATGAAAAAGCGAGAAAACAAAAATTTTGAAGCTTTTTATGTATTATTAGCGGGGTTGCAACGGAAGTAAACTAAATTTGCATACATTTTGTTTTATTATTATATTTGCATTTATTAAATTGAATAACTTGTTGAGTAAAGTTTTAAATCGAAATAAATTAGATATACTTTTTAAAATTAAATGTTCAAAACAAATTTCGCGAGACCTCTTCCGAGGAACCTAGGGCTTATTGAAGTCCAATGGGTCCCCATTTTTTGTTAGATTAAGAATGTTTAAATTGTAGTTTAAAATTGTAACTTGATCCTTGCAAACATTGGTTATAATAAAATATATAAATTATCATTATTATATTATTAATACGAGTATCAACTATTTTTCAGTATAAGATAAATGCTCATTGAAAAAGTATTAAAAATTTATGATGATTCAATTTTTAGCGGCCCTCGACACTTGGGTGTCCAAGGCTTAAGCACCATTAGTCGATATGTAGATCCGCCCCTGGGATCATCATAGACCATAAACTACTCTGGAGAGACCCACACACTATATTCACGAAAAAGCCACCAAACTGGTCCATAGTCTATCTTCATTATCTAGAAACAAATGGGGACTGGACCACAAAGCGTACAGAACGATCTGTATTGTAGCAATTGAGCTACTATGACCTTCGGGTGCGAAGTCTGTGGGTCCCTCACATGAAATAGGGAAAAAATTTTTATCTGCAACGGATCTCTGCAATTTCTGCTGCAAAATCTTATAGGACAGCCCCGACTGACGCTCTTCTCATCTCAAATCTTCCGATAGACTTGATCATAAAAGAAAAATACTGGAAACACACACTGAAGAAACTTATCAACAATGAAATTACTAGAGAGGATTATGATAAAATTTCAAAAAACATTGGTTTTCCTACCAGCACAGTCTTGATGACATCATTACAAATAACGGCTGTCACCGCAACCACTGCAACCCTCTCCACATATCTACTTATCTCAACCTTAACTTTAGTAATCAAAGCAACTTTAAAAATATTTTTTTAAATATTCACTGACGGTTCAAAGACCGACACTGGCGCCGGGGCTCTTATGTTATCACCACCTCTAACGACAGAAACATCAAGCAATCCCATTTCCGTATGGCAATCACTGCAGTATTAACCAAGCTGAGTCCTCCATGTATATGCTTCAGGCCTTGAAGCATATACATAATAACAGACACAACAAAGACTTCAAGAATTTAACTCGTTTCGTCATAATTGAAGGGCAAGACAAGACTAAAGACAGTAACTCTTGCTCTGTATGTTGCTTTCTGTTCGACTGGTTAAAGTAAAGCAGCGGAATTTTCTCCTCTCTAACCGAATTGCTGAGCGTAACTACATTCGGAGTACTCTTTGTGCTCAAGCCGAAAAACAAGAGTAGCAACTGCATTAAGTATGGCTCGACCAATGACGAATATTTGTGAGAGAAAACATATAAAAAGTCGTGTGACTATTACTAGAATTTTTCGATTTATCTGAAAAAGTTTTTATCTTGGGATGGCGATAAAAACATTATTGATTTTACTGCCGCAACAGTATAAAAGGCCAAAAGTTGAGATTTCCAAACTTGGTGGATGAATACACGGATAATGAAGTAATAAGCTGTATTACTACGTTCGCTTGCTCGGATTCAATTCCGAGACTTCCTTAGTTGCTTTGGGCATCCGGTCCTCATGGGTCCCGATATATCTGTACATGCAGTCCTTAGAAAGTTCCTGAGTTTTATGCAAGGGTTCGATCTTAGATTCTTCACAGCAGCAGGCTTTTACTGACTAGACTAGGTGTGCTCTGTGTTCAAACACTAGGCATGGTCAACTTATAAGGAGATTTGATCTACTTCCTGGAATAAAAAATATTGATAATCTAACGCACATTTTTGTTCAGTGGCTGAGGTGATAAAATCACTAAAACATCGGTTATCAGTCGCGGATTCGCGCCTCACCAACGAGCTGGCTACGTGGAGTTTCCCGGATTTTTTTTCATGTTTATAATACCTAAATAGGGACTAGTTTCCCACAGAAAGTCCTCCCGTGAAGCTTCTCACTTCAGCAAATTGCCCACGTATCGCGTAGCCGTGTACCAACAAAAGAAACAAATCCATGTGTTCAGAAAAAAAATCACACAACCAGAAAATAAAGACGACCATAACTTATGGTCCATAAGTTATTTCAGAATACAGTATTATCAGCTCACGAAGATGGATTTCTTCATGGAAAACATTTATAATTCCAATTCGAATATTAATTTAATGTTTTTCAAGTCCCAAATTATAGGTGATCGACTTATTGGCCTTGTCCAACCTAGGCGATTTGGCCATTAAATATTTTTAAGATTGTAATTAATTTTAATTGTTTTTTTTAAATTAAAAACATAATGAGAATAAAATATATTTAATTTCAACTGTTAAAATAGTGTATTTTTTCAAACTTTCGAGAATAAAAAAGAAAAAAATGGGAAACGTAATTAGACTATTTGTAAACTGAGACTAGTTAATAAATATCCGAATTATGCTTCATACGAATTATGACTCATTCTTGATAAAATTATTGTATAAAGCAGTTCTTTACTTATAATATTGATAAAATAATTATTTGTACGTGGTATGTAAATCAATAATTTGTTTACTTGCAAGCAATAAATAAATAAATAATTATATTAATCACAAATTTTGTTTATGGCAAAATTTTATCTGTGCTAGGCCGTTGTAAACTAGTTTCTGTTTGGATTAACAGTCGAATTTCGTTGTCATTTTTCTCGAATTTTTGGGGAAATTTATGTTTATGTTTCTTATTATTTCTATAAAAGTTTATTTTAGCAAACAAATCTGCGTCGTCACTGCCTAAGGTCCGATCTGTCACCGAAAACACCACGTCACGTTTAACTTTACGTTCCGTTACTTTAATTTTGGAATTTTTGAAAAGTAAAAAAAAAAAAATTGAAAACGTCACGTGTTTTTAGTGTATTAAGAGCTCTAAAAACACGTGATTTGAATTACGTCGCGCAACTGACTAAAATCGGCCTGGTGTCTTCAACCAATCAGTAATTTAGTTTATCGCTTCCGACGTAAAGCCTAATGGCATGTGAATGGCACTGAATTTTTATAAAATGGCTGGGTCGTTTGTAACTAGTCAACGTAAAATTAATCATATATTACTGTCTGATATAATGATATATGCTGCTTGTACCTGTTTACCGAGAAATTTTATAGAAGGAGAACAATTATTGGTAACGGGTCAGGTTATTTTATTGTACTATTAGCGAAACAAGTTAGCGAGATCATTCTGTACAAAATGCGAATAGTCCCAAACAGTTAACAAAACCCCGTGTAGTCTATGAACCTGTTCCATGTTTTCTTAAAATAACACAAATCTATATCTTATAGAAAAACATAGATTAGACATGTTAAGGGCTTCTTTTAGTAAGCCCATTAATGGCTTCGGCCAGGCACACATTGGGACGGCCGGG